ACAGCTTATCCAACGACAAACTTGTAGAGCATGTTTTTCATTGAGAAGAGACATAATGTTCTTCTTTGTAGCTTCTCTCACACACACCTCATGCACTCTATCATGAATTTTACATCTCTTAATCTTGCCATCAACACTTCGCTTGTCAATTTGAACTAGATTTCTATTAATGAGATCATACAAGTAACTTTTTGCCACTTCTTCCAAACTCTTATTTCTTTCTGGCATTAGAAACCCCTCTGCAACCCATAAGTTAATTAGTTTCTCAACAGGAATACTGCTATCTTCAGGGAAAACTCCAAAATAAAGAAAGCAAGCTTTTAGATGATTTGGCAAGTAATTGTAACACAAAGATGTAATCACTTCCAAATTGCTTTTGTCATAACTTATTCGTGATGTACGCAAAGTTTCATAAACATCTTTCCATATTTCTAATGACTTGTTGGTAGCTAGAATTCCAGCACACAATACAACTGCCAGGGGTAATCCATAGCAATTAAAACAAATACTTGTTCCAAGTTCCTTAAATTCTGTGGAGGGACACACCTTTCTTTCAATTATTTCCCAAGATTCATCAATTGTTAGGAACTTCAAATCAAAAATTATTTCCCAAGATAAGTATGTACACATCTCTCTGAATCGAGAAGTTATTAGAATCCGACTTCCATTGAAATTATTTGGAAAACATAATTGGATGACATCCTGTGCTTCAATAGTCCACCACACATCATCTAAGACAATTAAATACCTCTTACCCACCAAACTGTTGCGTAATTGCTTGGCTAGCTCATCGTCACCTTTGTTGGAGATTTCGCTAGTGACCGGCAAAATACATTCCAAAAGATGAATAAGCATCTCTTTTACATTATGTTCTTTCGACACAACAGTCCATGCTCGAATGTCAAAGTGATACTTAATTTTAGGATCTTCATAAACTAATTTGGCTAATGTAGTCTTCCCAAGGCCTCCGATCCCACAGATTGCGATAACTTCTCGTTTCATTGACCACTCTTTTGTGAGCATGCCCACTATTTCCTCTGCTTCCCTCTCAAATCCAACTATGGGTGTATCCTCAGGGATTAAATCACTTGGGGAGCTAACACCAACCATGACGTTCTCTTCATTGAAATCATTTGTTGATGAACTGAATAAGTTTGGTTTTAGCATCAGGATCCTTATTTCAACTGACTTAATATCTTTAACTACTTGTTGCATGGTCTGATAAAGCCGTTGACAAGCCTCCTCAACTAAACACTGATCTCCTCCATTAGCATTAGCTGCCAAATAAACTAGCCTTAGTTTAGATCCTATTTGACCTTCTGCTTTAGTAGCTACATCTTGGATCTCAGTTTCCAACTTTTCTTTAGCTTCGGGATCTTCGGTTTTCAGGTTAGATTCCTCCAAAAAAGCTTGCAGAAAGTGGAGCTTTTCCCTCAATGACACAATCGTTTCTGTATCATCAAGAACCAAACATGGTTTGGGTTGCAAAAGCTGCTGCTCCACTAACTCCAAAAGGGAGCTTACAACAACAAAAGCCGCCATTCAACAACTCGATCAACAAAGACTAATCATTCATCATCTGCAATATATGGAATCTGCATAATGGAATGGAATATGCCATCATATATTATTTCATTTTTATTTTTTTTTTGAAAAATATACAATTTCATTTTTAAAATAGCAATTGGAAGAGGACTGCAAAATCCAAGTCATATTTAATCTTTCCAGGCATATATAGTCACCATTAAAATATAGCAAATGCCAACAAATGCCATCAGGCTGTCTTGCACTTAATTGTATTCAATTAAATATATATGGGATACTATGTACGTAACTTTGGCCCTTATATGGATTTTTAATCTTTTCTTTCAAAGCCAGGAATAAACTACATTATCTTATGCTAAATTTCCAACTACCATATTATGGACTATATACAGAGAATTGAAGTAAACGACACCTATGTGCTTCCCTTTAATCCAGGTAAGCTCCCTATTTTCCACACAAGATAGCATCTTTAATTTATCTTCAGACCTTCAAGAATATAATTTTTCTTCCATCACCATTTTCGTTTCGGATCACAATAGCAGACATTTCACTTGAACACAACATCAAATATTTGTAAGGCACCTAACAACTAACAATAGAAAAGTTTTCTACATGTTTGGAGTTAAAAAAACTATAAACACACACTACAAATAATGTCCAAAGCTCCCCCTAAAAATAAACTGCCCATATAGCATCACGCTATAACTATACTCCCGCTTTTTTGCATTAAAAAAAAAAAAAAAAAAAAGCCAAAGCATGTGTCAAATTAAAATACCCCAATAGATGAACCAGCCCCAAAAATAACTATTTTTTCCCAAATTACCAACTATAAACGGATTTAGCATGCCTTTACCAATAGTCGTTTGCTCCAGACTAGGGTGTCATTTGACCATTGACATTAAAAATTATTGTTTGAAAACTACAATTTAGTTATAATTGATAAGTGTTTTTGTCTTTTGGAAGGAATTATTTCTTCATTTTGTGTTAGTTTAGATCCTATTTGACCCTCTGCTTTAGTAGCTCCATCTTGAATCTCTGTGTCCAATATTTTCTTAGCCTCGGGATCTTTAGTTTTCATCTCAGATCTCTCCACAAAAAAGCTTGCAGAAGGCGGATCGGAGCTAATCCCTCAATGAAACCGTTTCTGTATCATCAAGAACCAAACATATATGGATTGGGCTGCAAAAGTTGCTGCTCCGATCCACTAACTCCAAAAGGGAGCTTACAACAACATAAGCTGCCGTTCAACAACTCGATAGATCTACCGTTTCTGAAACTAACTCAGATCAAAGTAAACGTTTTATTTATTAATTAAAGCCAAGCTATCTATCAAAGTACAACAAATTCAGACAGCAAATTAAAATGGCAATTCAACTGAGTTATATATGCTATGCTTACAAAGTAAATGAATATTATAATGGCGGCCTGGCGGAAATATACAACTAACATACCTTAGCTTGGAGGAAATGATGAAGATTCAAGAGACGGTGTGAGGTACAGCAGGAGTAGGTGCAGTGTTTTCCAGAAATAATCTCTTCTTTTTTTGTATGATTATTTGGTAATAATCATTCCATCTGCGATATATGGAATGGAATATGACATCATAATTTCATTTTAATCTTTTCAGCTGGCGTAGTCACCATCAAAATTTTTAAATATAACAAATATATATTGGAAAATTTTGGCTGGTAAGTTATTCTTATCCATTCAATATTCTTTCACCTTTAAGGGGTGTTTGGTTGGATGAAAAATATTTTTCATGAAAAATGTTTTCTTTAAAAGTGAAATAAAATGTTGGTTTATGTTGTTTAGTTCGATGGAAAATGAATTCCTTAAAGTTGAGGAAAATGATTTTTTTGTAAAGGGGTGAGATTTTGTTTTTCACGAGGATTGGGAAGAAAAATAACATAAAAAAATAACATGAATGTACCGGTATGTACCAGTTTGTCCTTATGAAAGTTATTAGGGGAAACGGCGCTTTTGGCCCCTTAATTGTTTTAGTTTTGGAAATTTAGCCCCTCTCAATTAATTTGAGCAAACTTAACCCTTTAATTGTTCATAATGTAGCACATTTGGTCCCTCATGTTATATAATTAAAATTATTTTTAATAATTTATATAATTTATTCATTCAAAATTAAAAATATTTTTATAATAAATAAATTTAAAAATTTAAAAATTTAAAAATTAAAAAAAAAAAAAAAAAAAAAAAAAAAAAAAAAAAGAAGAAGAAGAACTGCCACCGAAATAGCCACCGGTGGCTGTTTTTTTTTTTTTTTTTTTTTTTTTTTTTTGCGTGCAGGATTTTGAAAAGGAGGTGCCATGGTGGTTGGAATATATTTCAAGTCTTTTGTTTCTCGCTGTTTTTGGAATATTAAGGGTAAACGCCTACATAAATGACCTTGTTAATATGTTTATTTAAAATTGCATTTTTTCCCATTCTATGGAATCATTATTTTGTTATTTGTATACTGCTGCAATCGTCCACCCTCATCATGTAGCTGCTCTGTTCCTTGCCAACTTTGAACAGCAATTAAAAAATTCAAAAATTCAAAAAAAAACAAAAACAAAAACAAAAAAACAAAAAAAGAAGAAGAAGAAGAAGAAGAACAGCCACCGGAGCGGGTGGCTGTTCTTCTTCTTCTTCTTTTTTTAATATTTTTAAATTTATAAATTTATGTATTTATTTATTATAAAAATATTTTTAATTTTGAATGAATAAATTATATAAATTATTAAAAATAATTCTAATTATATAACATGAGGGACCAAATGTGCTACATTTTGAACAATTAAAGGGTTAAGTTTGCTCAAATCAATTGAGAGGGGCTAAATTTCCAAAACTAAAACAATTAAGGGGTCAAAAACGCCGTTTCCCCTTTCTTAATTATATAGGCACTTATTTATTCATTCATCTTTTTAAGAACGGGAGAAGTGTCAAATAGGCCCATGTACTATTGTCAAGTGCTCAATTCTCACCATGAACTAAATTAAAGGCTAATTAACTACACTTACCTACTAAATTTGTTCAATTAGCATTTTTAACAGGTAATTAACTTTTTTTTTACATGTTACCAATTCAATTATTAAAAAAAAAATTCAAAATTATTTAAAAATTATTTAAAAAAAAAAAAAAAAAAGAATACAGCCACCGGCTGTCCTCGTCGGACAGCCGGTGGCTGCCATTTCAAAGACAGCCGTGGCTGCCCGGCGAGGACAGCCGGACAGCCATGACTGTCTAATATGAGGTCCAGATCTGGACCTCAAACGGCCTGGAACGAGGGCGGCGGCCATGACCGTTTGAGGTCCAAATCTATATTCATAATTACAGAACTCTATATTCACAGTAACGTAACAGTATATTCACAATTTTTCATATCACTGAGTTGTTTTGACAACTTAAAAAAAAAAATTATATTGATGTAATCGAAAATTGTCAAACGATGTCGTGTTGAAACCGTGTCCATCTTGCAAGGTGGACACGTACAGTTCCACGGCATAACAATCCGTGAGATGCCATGCCCATTCAACACACAAGCTAAGGCTGAACTGATCAAATCAAATGGAAATTGAAGCAAATATACAACACTTTGATACACTCTGGATTAGAGATTTAGAACCGAGCATGAAGAATCCGCCTGGGAATTGAAGCAACAGGCCTTCCCTGCAACTTTACCTGCAAATCCCAAATTGACAGGTGTTGGTCAATGGAGATAAAACACACATTGACCACACACAGAGAGGTGTTTGGTATAGATGTTCCATTGGATACATACAACATACCTTGACTTTCTTAAGTTTTTAATGAACAAAAGAATTTTTCGTATTTTTGGTCCCTCGAGTATTGTGACACTAATAGGATTGCTCTACGATTTTCGAACCTTGCAAACTTGGTCCACGACTATCATTTTTTTTAGTATAAATGGTCTTTTTGGCTAAATCTCCGTTCACGGCTCAATTCTGCTATAAAGGGGGGAAAAATGTTCCGGTCACAAATGGACGAAAATTGAGCCAGAAGGACCATTTGTGATAATAAAAAAAAATAGTCGTGCACCAAGTTTGCAAGATTCGAAAGTCGTAGAGCAATCATGTTAGTGCCACAATACTCGTGGAACTAAAAGTACGAAAAACTCAAAACAGAAAATTAAAAAAATCATTAGCCATTTTCTTCCCTAGAGCATTCAAAGCTTTCTTCTTCAGAAATCTCTCTATTAGGCAATTCAACCTGACAACATAATTCAAAATGAGAATAAGAAAACACATGAAATTAATCTGTAGAATGAGAAACCAAAACTAGTATTTCAATATCAAAATAAAATTTTAAAAATTTTAAAAATAGACAGACCTTAGTTCCAAGATCATAAACACGAAATGCAGCAGGTTGATCTGCCCTCCTTTGAATCTCATGTGCAGAATTCACGAGAGATGAATAACAACTCTCTAACACAATTGATTTCAATGTTTCAATGCTCGCAAAAGCAATTGGAATTCGTTTTTAATTCCCAGCAATATCTCAAAACTAAATGCTCCAGAATAGGAAAATGATCAGCACTTGCATTCCAATGTGTGAGATCTGAACGTGCAACATGGAACACCTTTAATTTTTTAAATCCCACCTCCATTGGCTCCCACTTTGAGCCACAAAAGGCAAAATCTTTTAGTTTGAGAATCTCCAAGTTTGGCAATTTTCCAATTATGTTTATCTCCTTCCATGAAATATAAGTATAACAAAGTGTCAAACGTTTAAGATTTGGTGAAAAAGAAACAGGAAGATAGAACCGCTCAACCCTTCCAATTTCAAACTTTAATTTCTCAAGTAGATGTAAATGAAGAAGGCTCTCAAAACAATCTTGAACCAATTCACCTGTAAATCCCTAGTTCCGTCAAATTTGGTACCATTCTAAAATTTTTATTTTGATTTGAGCTACCAAAGTTCAACATATAAAGAGTTTGTAGATTTTCTTGAGCCGTGCTCGGGAAACACTGTGAATGTGTTTTCTCAATGTGCAAGTGTCTCAACGGTAACAAATCCAAAATATTACTTGGCAGTTGCAAATGACATCACCCCATCCATGAAGAAAGAATGAGAGTTTCCAAATGTTGAAGTTTAAAGAATCTAAACTTGTAAAGAGAACCTATAGTGCTTAATGCCAAGTATCTCAAATGAATTAAATCCGCTATCCCACTCGGCATGCCATGAGAGTATTTAAGTAAAGATAAATTCAATACTCTTAACAGTTTCAAATATAGATATACTAGCTTGCATCTTGGAAGGTAGAAACCTCTTCCAAAGTATAGAATGGAACGGATTTCATCAGAAGTGTGAATCCCATAACTTGCTCGAGTGATTGGCCAATGATTTGATTGACAACTTATCCAACGACGAGCTTCTTGAGCATGTTTTCCATTGATAAGAAACAAAATGTTCTTCTTTTTAGCTTCTCTCACACACATCTCATGCACCCTATCATGAATTTTACATGTCTTAATCTTTGCATCAACACTTCACTTGTCAATTTGAACTAGATTTCTATTAATGAGATCATACAAGTAACTTTTTGCCACTTCTTCCAAACTCATATTTTTTATTGGCTTTAGAAACCCCTCTGCAATCCACTTCTTCCAATCAAAACAACTCCCAATGGTATTCCTTCACATTGTGCACTAATTTCCCTTCCAAGGCACTCAAATTCATGGGAGGGGAAACATCCTTTTTGCAAAACATTTGTTGAAAATATTTGCCAAGTTTCATTCAAGTCTTGCAACTTCATATGATGAATTTTTCCAAATAAGTTATTACCCACCTCTTGGAATTGAGTAGTCACTAGGATTCGGCTTCCATTGAAATTATCTGGAAAAGATAGTTGGATATCATCCCATACTTTAGGGGTCCATACGTCATCTAAGACAATTAAGTACCTCTTACCCATCAAACTTCTACGCAATTGCTCTACTAGCTCGGCCTCACCTTTGTTGAAGATTTCACTAGTGACGACCGGCAAAATACAATCTAAAAGATAAATTAATGAGCATCTCTTTTAGACTTTTACATTATGTTCTCGAGACACAATAGTCCATGCTTTAATGTGAAAGTGATACCTAATTTCCGCCGCCTCCCATCCCAAGGGTTGCGATAACATCTCGTTATCATTATATCCTTAGGGTTTAAATAATTTGGGGAGCTAACCCCAACCATGATGTTCTCTTGCTTGAGATCATTTGTTGATGAACTAGCAATTGAACCCAAGTTTGTTTTTTGCATCAGGAACCTTACTTCAACAGCCTTGATATCTATGAGCACTTGTTGCAAGGTCTGATAAAGTTTTTGACAAACCTCAAGTAAACAGTCTCCTACATTAGCTGCCATGCCAAATAAACTTGTGTTAGTTTAGATCCTATTTTGCTTTCTGCTTTAGTAGCTAGATCTTGGATCTCAGTGTCCAATATTTCCTTAGCCTTGAGATCATTGGTTTTCATCTCAGGCTCCTCCAGAAAAGCTTGCAGAAAGTGGAGCTTATCCCACAATGACACAATTGTTTCTCTGTCATCAAGAACCAAACATGGATTTGGCTGCAAAAGTTGTTTGTCCACTAACTCCAAAAGAGAGGTTACAACAATATAAGCCATTGAACAGGCCCGAGTGTGATATACTAGTGGTATTGATATGATATGCTTCAGTTCGAGTCCAAGAAGACTCCTAGGATTCAAGGAAAAAGACAGAAGGGGAGATTAGAGTGTAATGTAAATACAGAAGAAATAGAGAGTGATGTTTGAGGTGCCGGGAAAGGGGAAGAAGGAGTGAGACAATGAACAATTCAAATAATACTAACTAAATATATAGGCCCTTTATGGTAAAATAGATAGCCTATCGGTCAATTTTGACTTATTTGACCACTATTCGCTATTTGACTTGGTTAAACAATCAATATGAGTGTTTAATTAATTAGCTTTTTGTAACAACTTATTGCTCCAAAATGCTAAAATTCAAAAAGCTGCTCAAAGTAGCTTTTTCAATTAACTTTTTAAGAAGTCATTTTGTATGTAATCAGCTATCAGCTAACAACTAATTTATGGGGTGTTTGGTAAATAGTAAAATGTTAGCTGTTAGGGGATTGGGTTAGTAGGTTTGACTACTTGATAACATTAGCTGATTGTAGAAAAGTGTTTGGTAAATTAGCTGTTAGCATTACATCTAAAATGACTTTCTCAAAAAACTGGTCGAAAAAGCTACTTTGAGCAGCTTTTTGAATTTTAGCATTAAACTTCTTTGAACAGCTTGTTGAATTTTAGCATTTCGAAGCAATAAGTTGTTACAAAAAGCTAATCAATCAAACACTCATATTGATTGTTTAACCAAGTCAAACAACTAATAGTGGTCAAATAAGCCAAAATTAGATAAGTTAACTATGTTACCAAATAGGACCATTTATCTATTATTTGAAAATCCTTTGTTTTTCTGCTTAATTATGCTTCAATTTCGAATTAGTTGAATCTGTAACATGATGCAATGTGTTTACAGCGGTGATTGCTTTGAAATTCAGATGTGCAACAACTAAAGGTGACACAGTATATGCATAAAAAGCATATTAAAGCGAAGCTATAAAAGCAAACGAATTCAGACAGCAAAACGACAATTAAGTGAGCTATGATATTACTATCAAAGTAAATGAATAGGATCACCAGCAATATCATCATGACCAGGAGAAAATCAGAAAATATACAACATATATACCTGGGCGGAATTGCAGTGCGTGCCAGAGATTGCAGTCTGTAGAATGATGATGATGATGATGATGATGAGAGTTAGCTTAAGGTAATGACATAAATGGTGTGAGCTAGGACTGCCCATCAATAGAATCTGCATAATGGAATAGGACTGCACAACCAAGTCATATTTTTAATCCTTCCAGTCACAGTCACCATTGAAATATAGCAAATGACAATTGCCATTAGGCTGCCTTGCAGTTTTGGTCTTTGACCGTTAATCTTTCTTTCAGAGCACGAAATAAATTGTATTATCATATGCCAACTATCACATGGGCTATAGTGATAAATTTTCAATTTGAATCAAATGGTTGGTTAGTACAAATAAATCAAGCGTTCAATACAAATAACATATGAACAAATCATTTGAGTGTGAACTGAGCACAATGAATCCCTGGGAATTGAAGTCAACATTAGAGCCACCAATTTCTTCTTGGACCCAACCAAACCTAATGAAAGCAATTTCTCAGTCACATTTTATTCATCTTTAGAGCATTCAAAACTTTCTTCTTCAGAGCTTTCAGCACTTTCTTCTTTGGCAATTCAACACTTTCTCCCTCTGCAGTGCTTTCATTATTTGGTAACACAACACTTAATTCTTCAGAGCTGTCATTATTTGGCAATTCAACCTAGAAGGTAATTCAACATGAGAACAATTAAAAAAAAAAAAACTAAAGATTAAACAGAAGACACAAAATTAATATTTCAAAATCATGAATGGGAATAGGAGGAAGACCTTAGTTCCGAGATCGTGAATACAAATTGTACGAGGAGCTACCCTCCATCGAAAGTCGTATGCAGAACACACAAGAGAAGAATAACAGCTTTCTAACACAATTAATTTCAATGTTTCAATTTCTGCAAAAGCAATTGGAACTTTTTCTAAATCCCAGCAATATCTTAGGACTAGGCACGTGAGAACTGGGAAATGATCAGAAATTACAGTCCAGAATCTGAGATTTGAACACGAGATAAGCAGTACATTTAATCTTCGAAAACCCCCCTTCTTTGGTTCCCACTTTGGACCACAAAAAGCAAAATCCTTCAATTTCAATAACTCAAGGTTGGGCAATTTGCTAATTATGTCCATCTTCTCCCAAGGAAGATAGGTATAACGAAGTGTCAACTTTTTTAGGTTTGGTGGAAACCTCTTAGGAAGATAAAAGAGCCCATTTCTTCCCATTTCAAATTTTAACTTCTCAAGTAGATGTAAATAGATGAGCTTCTCAAGACAACTAGGCGCCAATTCACCCTCAATGTAAATCCCTAGTTCCTTCAGGTTTGGAACCATTCTAAAGTTTGGTTTTTGGTCCGAGCTAGCAACTTTTAACCAATAAAGAGTTTGCAGATTTTCTCGAACCAAGTTTGGGAGGTATTGTGAAGATCTCTTTTCAAGGTGCAAGTGCCTTAACTGTGGCAAATCCAAAATATCACACGGCATTTGCAAAGTATATCCTTCCATCCATGAACAGACAATGAGAATTTGCAAATTTTGAAGCTTAAACAATCGAAATTTGTAAAGAGAACCTATAGTCCTTAAAGCTAGGTATCTCAAATGAACCAAATCCTCAATCCCACTAGGGGTGCCATGAGAGTATTTTATTAAAGATAAATCCAATACTCTTAGCAATTTGAAACATAGACCTGCAAACTTGCATTTAGAAAGGTATACATCTTCACTTGTGCGGAGAATAATGGAACGGATTTTGTTGGAAGTTTGGTTCCCATGACTTGCTTGAGTGATTGACCAATGACTTGATCCATAGCTTACCCAACGACTAGATTCTAGATTATGATTTTCATCAATGACGGACAACAGGTTCTCCTTTTTAGCTTCTCTCACACAAATCTCATGCAATTGCTCATGAATCATACATGACTTGCTTTTGACATCAATACTTCGCTTCTCAATTTGAACTAAACTTCTAGTAATAAGATCTTGCAAGTAACTCTCTGCCACTCCTTCCAAACTTTTATTCTTCTCTGGCTTCAGAAATCCCTCTACAATCCATAAGTCTATTAGTTTCTTAATAGGAATGTCACTACCTTCAGGGAGAACTCCAAAATAAAGAAAGCAAGCTTTCAAATGACTGGGCAAGTAGTTGTAGCTCAATGAAAGTATTCTTGAAGTTCTATTATCATCACTTTCTATTC